ATATAAAATAGGATTATATACTCCTCATTATACTACTTCTCTTCCTGTGAATCAGAGGTCTAACCATGGGTATGTGGTCATGTATGCATGCTATTCTCCCTACCCATGAAATGAGGGCAAAAATCTTTAATTTACAGAGATCAGTGTCAAGAATTGGTCATTAATTACAAAAACAAAAACAAGAATCTTTTACTTAATTCTTGTGACATTCTTTTTCCACAATCTGTCTAGGGATTAGTTTGTCTCAGCTTGAAAAGTATGTATGTATATGTATATATTTTGCTCACATTTTTTAATAAGTTACTTAAAATTATTTATCAGATAAAATGAAAATGACTAGTCATGTTTTAGTTTGCACTCGATAATATTTTTTTTAAATAATGAACTTTCAAATATACTCACATGGCTCAAATTTGGTATAAAACAAATAAGAGAGATCTCCTTCAGCAATGCAAATAAAAATGAAAATATTTTAGAGTCTATATTTTCCGATTTTCTATGCTTCTTTCTGGAAAGAATTGAAGCAAAATACAAACTGAAGATTCTGTCGCAATCTTTGCTTTCCTTCTTTGTTGGCTGTATGTTTTTTTTTTTAATTTGAATGATTAATTCTTGATTTCTCCTTTAGATTTCTCTTAGATCTTGAGAAGCGAGTAGAAGAGAACATTGTAATCTCTGATGTCTGCGACATTGTCCATCAGCATACTGTTAGCTACTTCTCAGTATATGTCACTTATGTGTCCAACCAGACCTACCAGGAAAGAACCTACAAGCAACTTCTGTGAGTGTAATTTCTCAAGCATGGCTTTGCTAATGAAACAATTTAACTCCAGCACAGCAACTGGATAACCTTCAAGATCTCAATAGTTAGCTCACAGGGGAAATTTATTTTCCTCAGGTTTTAAGAATTCATGTCTGGGTTCAATGTATAATTAAGTTAAACAATACAGCCAAAAGACCAACAGAGGTAGATGTAAGCATTTTGTATTGACTCATCAGTACCTACGTTACAATAACATGGTTAAAATCAGCTTCAAATATAAGACCTAGCAAGAGCATTAATTAAGCCTATAAGGTATGCAGGAAAGCAACTAATGGCAAGCCTTATGCCCACGGGAGGCGTAGATTGACACAAACCGTTTCTGCACACACAAGAGGGGCTTCAAACGGTTAATGACCACTGCCTCAGCAAAACACAGGAAAATGGCTGAAGAAGGCATTTTATGGCCTTGATTTGCTGCTGTTGTTGGAATACTCAAGGTTGTATGGACCCATTTCGGAAGATGCTCCTTTATTCTGAAAGCCAAACACCTATCAGTTCTGTTGATGTAATTGTCTCCACAATTACAAACAAATAATTAAGTGCTAAATATGTGATTCATTTCATACCAGAATAAAAGACAAAAAGACATGTACCTGATCATAAAGAAGGATATTACCTTTGGGCATTGTTCTGTCCCTCAGTCCGCATGGCACAATTTTTATAACAGATAATTAAAGGTGGGGGGGGATATGCATCTCCTTGCCCTCCTTTAATCTTGGCAGGATACCTTTTCTTCCTACCTATTGATGGAAGGACAATCTCTTTTAAGTAGCAATCCCATGAAATTATGAGATCCTTTTCACTGTGAGCCTTTTTATGACTGATAACACATCTGATTTTACTAGCTTAATGAAGATTGCTTCAGAACTTTGGAACAGACCATAAGTGTTGCGGATAACTCTAGTCTTTTAGAAAAAAAAAATCTTCATTACATTAAGAAGTGATCTAACAATTGTGAGCACACACATAAACATAACGATAAAAATACAGCTTGTAGGTTCCCTAATAATGAAAGCACCTTGCTCTCCTTGAACCAAGATGTATCCTGATAAGGTCAGGAACATTTTTACCAAAGTCATTTAAGAAAAGCTAGGCAGAATCATATATATAACATTTACAGTTAAAAATTGAATTGTTCATGGTGATTCAGGCTGAAGTCCTCTGTACCAAATGTATTCACTAAAGATGGTTTTGTATTTCAGAAATTACATCAAATTGAGGTCCAGAGGAGGGTTAATTGTGGCCATTCCAAAATTGTACCTGCTTCCAGGACAGTGCCTCATGGCCTAGGGAAGCAGAGGGTCAGAACAGCTTGCTCTGCTTCTTCAACACCATCTCTGCAGCCCAAGGTCTACGCGGACCCAGCAGAGTAGGATGGGGAGAGATAGATGAGAGGTCCTTGCGGGTTGGTCATTAGGGAAGGTGAATTGCCAAGTGCCTGAATTTTGTTCAGATATCTGTGTGGGTGCTGTAGCAGCTGCAAATTCAGACGGGTTGTTAAGTCCTTTCATTCAGCACCATTGTAATTTTGAATGGTCATTGAATGGTCTTAAGTTGACAATCTATACAAGCTATACGTCTGTTATTGCCATTCTAAAATTTATTCATGTGATTCAAGGTTAAATTGCTCCTTAACAAGTGCTTAATAGAAGGGAACAGTGTTCCTTAGAGATCTGTGATATTACAGGATGGAAATTATTCTTGCTTCGAGAACAGTTTTTGCATAGGAAAGATACATTCAGGAATGAGTACCACTGGCAAGAAAGTGGACTAAAGTAGATGAGTGTGGTAAGCGTGGTGTTGGAACTTTATCTCTTCTTGCATCAGCTTCTGATCAAAACGTTGAATGACAGTGCAAATCATTAAAAAGATCAATTGCAATTAGATGAGAAGTAGTGTATTCTGATTTTTTTTTTACTATGATTCCATTTGAAGTTGCTTCATAACCAGGAATTAAGCAACAAAACAGGGATATAACATCAATGGGAAAACTTTCAAAGAAAAGCTACAATGGCTGTTCAATTTAATGTGCTTCCTGTTGTATATGTATTGCATAATTATATTCATGTTCCAATTCCAGGGTCAAATTGGCCTATAGTTCTCCTATCCATTCTTTCTCTTCCTTCAGAAAAAAACATTTGATGGCTCATCGGATCTCACCAGGCCCCCAGGGTTCACTTGAGCCAGAATCCAGGGTTTGCTTCAGCTGTGCTCCCATGATGATGGCTCAGCCTGTTTGAAACTATAAACTGGAAGTGCTCAATCAAAAATCCCTGATAGCCTGAGATGCAGCTTTCAGAGATGACCAAATTGTTATCAAACTGTAATTTTAAATGTGAATGAGAAGGAAATTAGTAAATATATGATTGAGGAATGAATGTTTATCTGTGCTTAGTTTTGCTTACATTTAAATATAAATTAAATTAAATTTTCTTCTGGTCCACTTGCTATTTTTTGGATTCTGGCCTGTGGCATACCATTTAAAGGCCAAGTGCAGCCCTAACTGGAAAGAGCTGTTTTGCACTTTGGCCTTAAATCAATAATTTAGATTTAATTTTCATATTCCAGAGGCTTCCCTCTATTGTAGTTCATTATGAACACAAAGTTCCCTTATAATGCTGCCTTTTCTTGGCTGTAAGGAATCCAATAACATGAGCTCCCTTGCAAGATAAACAAAAATTGTGAGCTGCTTTTCTGAACTACTGAATGACAGTAGCCATACCTCTGCCTGTCAGTGTGAGTTTCCCATCTGGGTCAAGTAAATTCTTCATCACAATATTTCCAGCAAGGTTTCCCTTGGTCAGAGCACCTTATAGAAAGCTGTTTTCTATGATAATATGCACTTCACCATACCAGAATAATCTGACTGTGTAAAAATGTATAATTAAGTCTCTGACTCAACTGCTTGGACACACTCTCCATTCACATACACCCCCACACACAGCATAGGCAGCCAAGTCTGTATATGTTACATAAGGGAAACCATTACTCTGCTTGCATATAAAAAGTCTTATTTTTCCATTTCCCAATACTATAAATATACTCATCCATAAACCAACATTCAAAGTGCTAATATTTTGCACCACAATTTTCAAAACAAGACCCAAGCCAAAGGGGCCAGAAGTATTGAGAAAGGTAGTGTTGTGGATTAAAAGAATAACATAGAGCGGATCACTTACTCCTACAGGCTTAAGACAAAATGAAATAACAAATACCTCTCTCAATCTGTCTCTTTCGGCAGCCAAGACAAGCCAGGTTTCCGAGAGGTGATTTTACAATTGGAACTGGATCCAAAATGCAAAGGCTTACCTTTCTCATCTTTCTTGATTTTGCCTTTTCAAAGAATCACTAGGCTGAAGCTGCTGGTACAGGTACAATAAATTTATATTCTTCTTTTCATTCTTTTGTGGGGGCCACCTGCAAAGGAGATGACAACATTCAAATAGGAAATGAAAAGCCAATAAGAAATATTTATGGGTATTAGGCTGAATAGAAGATCTATAAATTCTCTTTTTAGTGTTGATATTATAGATGGTAATACTAAATTAGCATCAAAGTCTTATACATGTATTCAAGTAAGTACTGTTCAACAATAATACAACTTAACAATACATACAGTATATATCTATATATATCTATATATATAAAAGTGAAATACCATTCACGCATCATCAAAAATCTCCAGAACTGTAAAGCCTACAAACTTGAAATTTGGCACGTATGTTCCTCTTGGCTACTAGGTGCTCACTAAGAAAGGATTTTTCGAAATGACCATCAGAGCAATAGTATTTAGTATATTACTATTAACACGCTCTGATACTAAGGAGTTCTAATCTCCCTCCCCACCTAAAAAGAAATCACTTCCAAATGCAAAACCCAAGCAGAGGAGAGGAGTTTCAGTTTCACAGCAGCAACCAGCTTTAGTACAGAACAGTTGAACTAAGCTATACCCAAGCTCCTTGCTGTCTTCTTGCTCACTCAGCAAACACTTTCAGTTTCCAAACAGCCCTCAACTCCCACACATTGACAGGATGCTAGCCAGATGGATGCTGGTAGGCAGAAGCAGAATTTTTTCCCCTTGTTTTCCTCTTCAAAAAACTAAGCCCAATCACATAGTTTCGTGCTGAAGCAAGGGTATAGAGCTACACACACAGAGAGACAGACAGACAATATTTGAAAATATCCTACTGTATTATCAGAAGCTGCATGGTTTCTGTAAAACAAGTTAATAACATTTTACCTGCTCTTGTGCAGAATATTCTGAAGAAAGTGGAAGAAAAATCTGAACGTGAAATCACTGCTCTTGAGGCTCACAAGGAACTGGAAATAGTAAGCTTGTTTAGATTTTTTACTTTCTTTTTTAGGCAAATAACAGTTCCAATGAATTGAAAGCCTGGAAAATGTCTTATATAATACTTTTTATATAAAATTCACTTCCTTTAGAAAACCATTCAAGCAAGTTTCTAAGCAGGGGTTGATTAGTGATGAATTGACACACCTGTGAGGATCTTTAGAGGAAATACGTTTTCTGAGGAAAACGGATTCAGACTTTAGGGTCCAGAGCTGTTGTCAAACACTTGAAGGTGATAAAAATCCATGGAGAGCAGTTAATTTAATTAGCTGCCACCATTCAAAGACTGTTAATAGGTCAGATTTGTATCTAGAAGTGTAGAGTTACTTTTATGATCCCAAAATTGTTGAGTCATGGCATATATTTTTAAAAGTGTTTCATTTCATTCAAACTCCATTTTAGGAATCCCCTGTGCATATCCTTTCTGACTAAATGCATATTTCTGGGTTAGGGCAAATTATAAATGTTACTATTAAACTGAACCAGTGCCTGATAAGTGAAATATAAAGGTATCTGCCCTCCCTTGGCCATGCAGGATGCAACTCTGCTTCAGGTCTAGTTCATCTGTGTTAAGACCAAAAGTATAGATATGGCCTACAAACATGGGTAGCCAGTTTGGTCAAGTGGTAAAAGTGATGTCCTAGAAACTAGGAGAACCTGAATTCCAATCCTGCCTTAGGTGTGAAAGCCAGCTGGGTTACTTTGAGCCAGTCACACACTTTCAGCCCAATCCATCTAACAAGGTGGTTGTTGTGGGAAAAATAGGAAGAGGATGGCATATAATACATTTGCTGCCTTGAGTTACTTATAATGTAATAAAGGCAGGATAAAAATATAATAATAAATACAAATAAATAAAAAGCTAAATACTTATTTCTATTTAAAACATGTTATAAGCTACTGTGTGATTTTTACCACACACAAAATCTAATTATGACCTTACCTGGAGTGGCAGTACCTTATGACAGTGACTCATATGCTTATCACCATTCCATTGAAATGCTACAATTTACATGAGCTGCTTTCAGAAACCACTTGGAAGTTCAAAACATAGCAACCCCCTTGTGCTGCTAGCATTACTTTGATTGTCAGCAAATTTCATGGTGCAATTAAATAACTCACTGACTTATAGAGCCCCATATTGTATGACTAGGTATCTCCAGAATTACCTTCTTTAACTATAATTAACCTAGTTAAATCCCCTTTGTCAGGCATTACAAGCCTGAGACCAGAAGAGGGTCACTCTTGCTAGCATTATTAAAGCAAGTTAAAATGAAACTCTTTTGGAAGGCTTTTGATTAGTTGGATGCCATCATGGCATTTTATATAACTATGCATCCCCTTATTTCAAATTCGGTTGAATTATTTTATATTTTATTTACATTGTGGATGTTATACGCATTGTATGATTGGGTCACTATAAAAACTGAATATTTATTTAACAAATTTATTTAGCAACCCAACTCAATATTCCATCCTTGGCATGGTTTTAATAATGAGAACTAAATTGTAATTTGACAGAATCCCAGTATGTTGAACAGTTCATACCATATTGTCAAGTACATACCAAAAGTTATGAAGCAAGTAGAAATAGATCTTTGAAAGCATTCAGAAATTATTTTGTTGATTAGCCCTCAATATCATTCGGGCCAGGTTCTTAATAGCATACAGTATTAAGTCTTACAGCCAACTATTGTAGTACAATTGAATTAGTTTGCCCATCCTGTTTGAATGAAGAGGCATTATAGATTTGTCTTTGCCCATACTTTAAAGTCATCTAGTCAGAGTATATTTTTAAATGTGTCAATTTACACAGTGAAAAAGAGTGACCTATCTGTAGCCAATCTAGATTAGATGATTTCTTAGATAAAAACATCAAAAATGAACAAAAGAAAAACAAAGTTTCCCTGAGAATTGAGCTCAACTTGTGGTGACTCATGAACATATCCATGTTATTTTAACAATGATATAAAAGAGATTTGCCACTGCCTTCTCCCAATGAATGAAATTATGACAATGGGAAGAATCTGAGTGAAAGGAAGTCCTTAGAAGATCTTAGGGAACTTCGATATCACTCCACTCCTGCATGTTGAATGGGCTGGCAAATGCATCTACAATTATAATAAAGGCAAGTAGACAAGGACTTGCCTAACCATAAACTAATTTAAGTACTGCCTTACTTAGATTGCCCTTTGTGGTTTGTTTATTGCTGTTATAAAAAGTTAGCCCCTTCATTTTAAGTGCCGTGTAAGCTCCAAAGCAGGATCTTCAGAAATGCTATTTCTGAAATTTCCTTATCTTTCTCTTTTAGATAGTGAAGGCATGTAATGAAGGTGTTAGAAAGATGAGCCGCACAGAACAGATGATCAGCATCCAGAAGAAATTGGAATTCAAGATCAAGGTATAAAGCTGGTAAATCATGATGAGAAGACAATTGGGTTTTAAAGAACACGCAGAATTGTATGGAAGCAGATTATATGAAAAATAGGATTTGGGACTGCGGGAGAAAAGTCTTTGCTTGATGAAAATAAACTGTGCTCTGATGAATTTTGAGAAAAAATCTGAATGTAAGTGTTCTAGTTTTCACTAAGTAGAACATCATTTAGATCTCCTTTTCTTGGCTTATGTTACAGAAGGACTAGCTAGAGTGAAATGACTAACATTTATACTGAATAATGAATTGAGGATTCAAATCTGTCTTCTGCCATAAAAGAGTCCATTTCTTTTTATTTTTTATTTTGTTGTGAGGAAATATTGGAGAAAGGAATGCAGTTCATGCTGCTTTGAGTTCCTGAAGGAATTAGGAAATATAAATCAAGCAAACAGATTCAGGATGTAGTTTAAGGAATTAAAAATCTATTCTAGGGAAATGGCCTAATCAGAAATCCTCCAGAGGTTCGTTCCTATTACTTGTTCAGATCTATACTACTTCAGATACCATGTAACTTCTATATCATTATTTCACGTTTACAATAAAGATATTTAACAAAGGGTAATAGAAATAGTAGCAATCTTAAAAACTGATGCTGCATTTCACCTCTTCAAAGAGTGTAGCACTTGTTAATATAGGTCCCATCCATTCTAGGGTAGAGATGACTAAGAGTCCTTTCATTTTGTATGCCCCTGTTATACCTATGAATTTCTTCAAGGACCATAATGCCTCAAAGGTCTTAGCCCTTGTTTTAAGGGGGCACCTTTCCTTCCTTAGCAGTAAATTCTACTTGGTTATGATCTCTGTTTTCTTTCCATCATTAGTCTGTACCCATCATCTCTCATTCCCGGTGGCTGCTAAAGCAGGGAGAACTCCAGCAGATGAATGGCCCTAAAACATCCCGTACACTACGTACAAAGAAACTCTTTAGAGAAATCTACTTGTTCCTTTTCAACGACTTACTAGTACTGTGCAGACAAACTAATGGGTAAGTCTAAATTAGACAAATTTAACAATTCTGGAAGAAATTATTCTTCATTAGTAATTAATGTTTATTAATATATTAATAATTACTATAACAATATATTAATATATTGTTTATTTACAACAATAATATTTTAGAGTCTGTCTAGCATACAAAGAATCTCATGTTACTACAGCCCTTGCTATAGGCATAAAATATTAGACAAATCTTTTTAGCTCTTGTTATAGTTTTAACCAAATTTGCTCTAATGATATCCCACCTTGGAGATTTGGACTCTCTTAGTTTCCTGGTTCTCTGCAAATTGTTAAGAACCTGATTGTGCTACCAGGCCTTGGGTTATGATGGTAGTCAAGTTGCTTTGTGTTTGGGGAGGGCATCTTTTGGTATTTTTTTTTCTTTTGTGTTATGGATTAGTTTGAGACACTGGATATCAGACAAGGATTGAAAATGGAATATAGGTAGTCCTGGACTTAAGACTGGTCACTTAGCAACCATTTGAAGTTATGACAGACTGCTTATGAGCCAGTTTTAAAGTTAAAGCCTTTGCAGTGCTCCTGCAATCATTCCTCCTTATGACCAAGTGCAAAAATGCTGCAACACCTCCTGCCTATCTATGCCACCATCCTACTCCACCAGGTCCCTACAGGCCTAGCTGGAACATGATCAAACATTGCTGAATCAGAGCTGAAGAAGCTTCTTGGATGAGAAGCGAAATGTCTTCAAAGAAAAACCAGAAAGTCCAGTTGCCAGTCATCCTTTGGGATGACTGAGAAACTCCGTAGACATTGCTGAATCTGTTACCCCATTCTAATAGAAAACAAAGAAGTTAAAGGCATTTTAGGTGCTTTACATTTTTTGAAGCTATATAATAAATAGGTGATTACACTAGTTTCCCCAAATCAAATCAAATCTATATTATGACATGACCAGAATATGTTTCCCACATTCCCAATAATCACCCTCCCCCACCCCACTCCCCCAACTCTCAGAACAATACAAAGTGAACTGGGCTACTTTCCATGTTGTGGATACAGTCATAAACCAGGTCATCTGATTCTTGCTTTTTCTTGAAATAACTTTCTAGGTCTAGGAGAACCCTTGCAACAGAGGAGGGATCTTACTATGTCCAGGTCCCTTTAATTTATAATCGAGATTAAATCATTTATTCTTCTAATCCTGAGAAATATCTTATTCTGATTCATCTCTGACAAGTATATTCTATCTGTTTCTCTGTCCCATTTTTTTTAAAAAGTGTAACCCAGCCTATAATAATAATCATTTATTATTTGCCTCAGTGACAAGTACCAAGTATTTGATTCTGCTCCTCGAGGCCTTCTTCGAGTGGAAGAGTTGGAGGACCAAGGACAGAGCTTGGCCAATGTATTTATTCTGAGGCTTCTGGAAAATGCAGATGACCGTGAAGTCAGCTATATGCTGAAGGCGTTATCCCAGTGAGTATAGCAAGTGATACGCATGTGAGCATGTGGATTCTGTGAATGAACCCATTCAATTTGTTCCAGCTTCATGAAGTATGGACTTTTAGCTTTTCCAGGCTAATCAGTGAGCAAACTGCTTGTATGCAACTCATCCATATTCCATTTTTTCATTCGCATGCATGCATGCACAGAAATCTGTTCAGAAATTGTTCTGTGTATAAATCTTAAGCAGAAACTACCTTGTAATTTATTTCTATCAGTAAAATTAGCTCCCCTTAATGTAATTGCCTGTTTTAAAACCCCCATGATTAGGCATAGAAAACGTTAGTCTCTAATTCTTGGGCAGAACCAGAATGGTTTAGTTTCTTCCTCCCCCAAAATAGTGAATTAAGGGTAGGGTCATGATTTTTTTTCCATACTGAAATTAGGAAACCAAACGAAATTGTTCCCCCCTCCTTTGCTGAGAGCTTTTTATTCTCATTCTTCAATACTTTGTTCCAGAACAGAGCTCTCCAAACTTGGCAACTAAGGCTTGTGGACTTCAACTCCCAGAATTCTGGGAGTTGAAGTCCACAAACCTTAAAATTGCCAAGTGTGGGGACTCCTGTTTCAAAATATTCCTAAAATGACTATAAAATGTGCTAAGGAGATGATTCCCCCCACTTTTTTTTGGCTACAAAACTGTTGTTTGAAGGTTAATTATTTTGTGGATATTTTTGCAAACAAAGCTAATGCTACCCCATGATAATTGAATTTCAAGAAGAGGTCACATTGGGATTTTTTTGTGGTAACTCCTTTTTTAAATTTGTTAAATTTGCTTTTGATTTTATATATATAAAGGAACTTTTTCAGCCCAATTTCTGAAAACATAAGTAAGCTTTGACTACATGGAATAATATTGATTAGTATTTCCACTGCATCAGTAGATAATCATCTCACAATCAGAACATGAACACACATCATCAATCATATGTTTGAACAGGGGGTTGGAGTAGAAGACCTCCAAACTCACTTCCAATCCTTTCATTTTAATGATATGTGCAATCAGTGGGTAATACTGAGGTTACTCTGTCCTTCCAGTGTTGAAGCATAATCTTTTTTGCAACATCCTACCATGCCTGGTAATTCCATGTCTCTTTGGGAAGTGATAGGTGTTAAAGTACATTCATATATTAAAGGATGTTGATCATATTACCATATTAACACATGGTTAGTATTAAACCAGATGGGCAGTAGTGAGTCTGGCTCAGATTCTTTCATGCATTTCACTGTTATAGAACAATGAAACAGCAGATTTTCTTCTGAGGTGTTTAATAAACATGGATAAAAATACTTTGTGGAATTGATCCCATGTGAAAATCATAAGGAACATACTTGATGCTCTTTGATCACCATTTATTAGTTAATAGGAGATATTGCAAGTCTTTATTTGAGAATTTTGCAAATAAATCATATCCAAAAGAAACTTCAATGCAAAATTTTAATTCCGGGGTTTTGAAGGCTGCTAAAACTTGTGGACCATTTTTTCCCCAGACTAGTTTGACCATTTCATTTGCTGATGTCTGCTTCAAAAGGCAAATGGAACATATTATAAGAGGTTTAGAAATCCTATATATTTAGTTTCATAAACTTGATTATGATTGTTTATGCAGCTCTGTAGAATTCCTTATATAATTTAATATATTCTTCTTTAAACTTTGGTTTTTTTATGTACAGAATAGTTTTAAGTACTGAAACCATCAGCATTCAAGTACTTGCATTATATTCTGTTTTATTTTATTCCTACTTTAGTTAGTATGTACAGTATTTCCATCCAAGCTACATAAATTCAGGTTAGGGATCATAGGAAATATTGTATGTTCTGTTCTGAAATCAAAGTATATGGTCAGTCCTTTATGTATGAGTTACAGGTTTACTGTATCCTGTCTAATTTGAAACTAAGTAAGAGGAGTACTGTATATAGTGAAATTTACATTTTTGTAGTCTACCAAACATTTCTGAAATACGCTCAGTTTTCACAGATATTTCCACCCAGAGTTCCTTAAAATACATAACTGCAGATGAGTCATTTTGCAGAGGCATGACATGAGAAGAGGAATGATAAAATGCCTATAGATTTATGATTACGTTTACATATGCTGAAGCAATCAGTATTAAGATAAACACCTAATGCTGTGTATGCACCAAGAAAAAATATTTTAAATGAAGGTGTAATAATGGAGTAAATGAATTCTTGCGTATCTTATGGTCACTGGACTTACAGAAAAGATGTGTTATGAGCTTTCTGATTCCTCCATAAATGGAATATACATAAATACACACACACACACACATACACACACACACACACACACAGAAGAAAAATTTGCAAATTGGCAGGAACAATTAATTGTAAGAGTTGCATGATTTCTAATCTTTCCAAAAGTGCCTGGAAAACTGACTGCTGTGATCTCTTCCTATATATGTCACATAGAAGTGAAATGAAACGCTGGATGATTTTGCTGGCTCCAAATCGACGAACAAAGTTTGTTTCCTTCACATCCAGGCTTATGGGTAAGTGAAAAAGAAGATGGTATCCAAACAGGTTGGAAAGGCATGCTATACCTTTCTTCTTTTATTGGATTTTAGCAATGTCAATTCTTCTAGACTTTAAATCAGGATGGGTATCATTGATTGGGAAAGCCAGTTGTGTGTAATGGTTAAGGCGTCAGGCTAGAAACCAGGAGATGCTGTTTTCTGTTTCTTGTACAGAGGTGGATTCATAAACTGTACAGATGCAGAGAGATAACTCAACAAGATGTCCATAACAAAGAACATTTATTGGTTCATCAAGTATCCTCATAACCTACATTTGTGATGAAGTTCTTCTTTTATGACCAATCTTTTGTGTATCTGCCTTGTAGTGAAAGATTGGCTATCTCCTAACCCATCTCGTAGCGGTAGAAAAGCTGCTATCAATTCATGAGTCCAGGCAAGAATGGAGGGAAACCTCCCCCAACCCTTCGAGGGTCAATTTAGTGACCAATCAGGATTACAGATGTGGCCATGTGAGATGAACTACATTTCCCAGGATACCTTTAACTACATTTACCATGATGCATCCCCTTAAGGGGACAGCTCATAATTCCTAAGTAACTATCCAATTCCAATAGACTGGCTGGGACAGCACACTCCCTACCTGGAATTGTAAATTCCACTAGTAAAAGAAGAGAAAAAAATTAACTGTAAACTAAGATAAGCGGTAAACAGTAATACTAACTGAATAGCATATAACTATATAACTAAGATAAACAGTTAGCTATATAACAAAGAAAAAACAGTAAACATTAATAAAACATCAAACAAAGCAAAGCATGCAAAGTTTGAGGTTCAATCTTCAAGTTCGGCTTCTTGGTGCGAGTCTGCTGGTCACCTCTGGCGGCCTTTTAGGGTGTACAGGTACTCTTGGTGGCAAAGGTGAAAGTCTGGTGGTCACTTCTGGCCTTTTAGGATTGGAATGGTACTCTTGCTTTCATGGTGTCAAAGAGCATTGGGAACATCGGGAAGCTGTTGGAAAGGGTGTTGCGGAGGTATACGCCTGTGTAAAGTGTCTTAGTGGATGTCTGGTGGTTGTTGGCGGTCGTTTAGGGTGTCCTAGCAAAAGTGTACTGATCAGCAGTGGCCTTTTTAGGCTGGAATGTCATTCTTTTTTTTGATGGTACCAAAGGGGGTCAGAAGGCTGTTGGAATGGGTGGTGCTGAGGCATTTGCCTGGGTTGGAGCCTGCATCTGAGCGTCACTGACAATTCCTATGATCCCCCATCCTTGTGGAGATTTGATGGCCACTGGGCCATCTACAGGGCCGCCGACTGACTCGGAGAAGAGAAAGGCGCGTGGGGCATTATTCCCCAGCAAGAGTAGGATATCAGCCTCCGGATCTAGAGCGGGAAAGTATGAGCCAGGTGCTGTAGGTGAGGCATGGTACTTATGACCTCAGGTCTTAGATCTGACTGCGGTCATTCGGTACACCATCGCATTCAAACACGGGCAGCAGTGGGAACCGGGAACTTCCATCCAATGACTCTATGCAGAATCTAGTAGCTTTCCTCCCCGCCGTGCTTCTTGGTCCATGGCATGTTGATACAGTGAAAGGAAGTTTGTTCTGTTGCACCTCAAAGAGGTTGAAGAATGCAGGTTTGGATAGGGTGCAGATGCTTTCAGTGTCTATCCGTATGTACATTTTCACAGCGTCTTCGGGGCGACCTTCAGGGTACACTTTGGCTAAGCAGCTGGGAAGACATGAACGAGGGTATGGTGAGTCAGCACACAGTGCTGTGCAGTTGACACTCATGCTTGGTGTTGGTTGCGGTTTGTCAGTCTGCCGAGGAGCCCTGTCTGATTCTGTGGTATGGTAAGGCTCCTTGTTCGAAGGAGCGTTGCGAGATATCTGTTGTGGTGGCTCGGCGTCTGGATGCAGCGCAGTCGGGTGCTGGTCACTTTTGCAGATGTGACATTTCACTTTGGTTGTGCAGTATGTGGGTGAATGTTTGGATTCGCAACACTTGTAGCAGTATTGGTACTCCCTTAGTAACTCTTTTCGTTGGATCAGTGATTTCGCTGCAAACCCAGTGCAGCTGTTCAGCGAGTGACGAGTGTGATGCATAGGACAAAATTGGTTTCTCATTGAAGTAGTAGATCTAAATTGGGTTGTATCTGATGAGGTCTCTCCTGCACTGTGTACAGATGAGGTCACGACTCCTGTGTTATGTGTCGACCTTTGGTGATGATCTGTACAGATGTGCAGTAGAGGCTGGAGAGGCCCAGAGGTGGAGTCATAAATTGTACAGATGCAGAGAGATAACTCAACAAGACGTCCGTAACAAAGAACATTTATTGGTTCATCAGGTATCCTCATAACTCAAGTTTGTGATGAAGTTCTTCTTTTATGACCAATCCTTTATATATCTGCCTTGTAGTGAAAGATGGCTATCTCCTAATCCATCTTGTAGCGGTAGAAAAGCTCCTATCAGTTCATGAATCCAGGCAAGAATAGAGGGAAACCTCCCCAATGCCTCGAGGATCAATTTAGTGACCAATCAGGATTACAGATGTGGCCACATGACATGAACTACATTTCCCAGGATACCTTTAACTACATTTACCATGATGCATTCCATTAAGGGAACAGCTCATAATTCCTAAGTAACTATCCAATTCCTATAGACTGGCTGGGACAGGACAGCACATGCTGAGTTCTAGTTGTTCCTTAGGCACAGAGCCAACTGGGTGATTCTGGATGAGTCACTGTCTAGGAACGAGTTAGTGGCAAACTACTTCTGGAAACATTGAGAGATTCTTACACGCTATGTTTTGCAGCAAGTTTTTCATACAGACCAGGATTTCATTAGCTCCTAATTCTATTAAAAATACCCATGCAGTTCCTTCTCATAAATGATTGGCAAGCTAAATTAATTTCCTTTAACAGATTGCCCTCAAGTACAATGTGTCCATCCTTACGTGGCCCAGCAACCAGATGAGCTTTCATTGGAATTGGCTGATGTTCTCAACATTCTGGAAAAGACAGATGATGGTAAGATCAACAAGACGTATGCAGAACTGTGTCCCAGTTCCATTACAATGGAACACTCTTTTATTTGCATCACTAAAGATGGCACACTGCAGTGTATTTGAGCATTCCAGCAGTCATGGCCCAAGGAAATGAATAAGTGTATACTTTGTCATACTATTATTTAAAATGGCAGTAATATTAAGGTATTTCAGTGCTAATGAAGCTATATTCTTACATTTCCTTTAGTTGTAACATATGCTTCATACTTAAGGTGGTATAACCACCATCATGATACATTCTAATTAAAAAATATACTTGCTGCATATTGAATTATTAAGCCAATAAAGCATCGATCTCTATTAGTACATTTCTTCCACCATCACTATCTTTTCTTTTACTCTAGGCTGGATATTTGGGGAACGTTTGCATGATCAAGAAAGAGGTTGGTTCCCCAGTTCTATGGGTGAAGAGATTATGAATCCCAAGATTCGCTCTCAAAATTTAAAGGAATGTTTCCGAGTGCACAAAACTGATGACAGTCAGAGGAGGAAGATGGGCAGCAGGAATAGACAATGATCATTGCTTAGTCACCTGTTTTTCAGAAGCTGTTTATGGCAGAGGCTGAGACAATGAAATGGAGTGCTTGAGAGAATGCACACGAATCATCTTTTGGCAAGCAAATCCTTTCACCTATGAACTATTGGGCTTCCTTGCATTCTCATTACAAATTGGATAGTCTTTCTGAAGACAAACTGAAAAGAAGAGAGCCTGTCATTCACCTGTACAGATGTAGAAGCTGTAAATGTCTTTCCTAATGTACTGCATACTCTGAAGATTGTAAATTTATTAACTGCATGATGAAGAAATTAATCACTTGAGCATCTGGGGAAATTATGTCAATGTCCGTAAATCCAACAACTTGGTTCTTTGGCATCTTATCCAATGGTATAAAAAAGTGCAGCATTTGATTTTATGGAAAGATAATGAAGTTGTGGACAATACTACACTGAAAGTTTATACTATAAATTGTCAACTTCCATATTTCTATACTCAGGAAGTTTCTCCTAGGAACTGAGTTTGAACTGCTCATGTGATAAACTAGTTTCTTCTTGTGTTTTGGAAGAAAGGTGGAGGTAACAAAAAGATTAGGAAGTGCAATGTTATATAGTTAAAATGCACCACAATATTTATTTACCTGGGTGTCTTGGTTATGAACTTCTATGTTCTAGAAGGTAATATTGAAGCATGCAAAGTATATTTTCTAAAATAAGAATCAGTTGGTTGCAGTGGCCCAATTGGGAACTCAGATTATCATTCTTCTATTTTATTGACCTGTGTAGCCTACACTTCTTAAAATGATACCATATTATGCAGGATGATACTGAATCAATTATTCTGTTTTATAAGAACCATTACTCCCTGACTAATTAATCACTAACTGCCCTTACTTATCCAAACGTAATTATTTCATACACTTACCACTGGTAACCAGACAGAGTATAGCTGTGTTTGGAATTAGTGCCAGAATGGGGAGTATACTAAGATAGGAGTCCCCAGCTCTGGGCTGCAGCTCAGTATGGGCTGCAGCCTATTTGGAATTGGGCCATGTGAGTGGCTTGGCAGAACACAAGTGGCGAGCTGGCAGGCAGTCACGCATGTGTGCCGGCCCACTGCACGTGCAAGTCGAGCTGCACCCATGCATGTTGGCCCACCACTTGCACAAGGGCTGTGTGTGCATGCACACTGGCCTGCCACTCACACAGCCAAGGTTCTCCTCTTCCTCCCCTCAAGCCAAGTCACAACATTTGGGGACCATTGTATTAAGGGGTTTGTGCTAAGCAAGTGCTGCACTGAACTGTATAGGAGAATGCAATATTTGAGACAATATCCCTTGAAGAGATTTCTTTGCTTGAGTATCTTGCATACACTGAAGCATTTCCATATGTTGAAAAATATAAAAGAAAAGCAGATAACATTTTTCACAGCCAAATAAGCTACTCATAACATTCCAAATAGGTGCTACATCTGGGAAGCATCGGTGTATCATTCAGAGTCAGAACAACGAGGTTCTGTCTTTTGCTTCTTTGTTCTGCAGTTGTGCACCAATAAGAGCCAATGCCCATGCAAAGAAATTAAGTGGACCTGAGACAAAAGGTGGATGTTTGTATTAAATGTTTCCAAAGTTGTATCAAAGTAATAGAAATGTGTTTTTACTCATTTGTTGTGCACCCTTAGCAAAGTGCATGAAGTCTGTACTTTAAACTTTGTGTACAGGAAAGCCTCGAGCTAAAAGAACAAGAAATGTCTTATAATTTAATACAGAGCCATAAAAAGCATCAATATCTTTTTTATTTTGGAAAGGCCACATGGTCAGCTCTGGGCCCGAGCCTAACAGATTAAAAGGTTGTAAAGCATTTTGCATATTAAAAATGTTACAGAAGCAATTATCAAGAAGCATATATTTATATACTCTTAAATAATTTATTAAATGCCCTTTCTACAAGGCACAAATAGAACAAAGTGTTAATTTGCCCAAAATTGAGACGCTTTAGAAGAGATGAAACTCTTATAAAATATGAAAGGCCATTGGTCTAAATGGTTTTGTTCTATCATTATCAGTAACAATTTCCAGAAGTAAGACTTTTCATCTTGAAAAGAGAGGATGAATACCTGAAAACTTTTGTAATCATTATATTAGAAAAAAAATCTCGCCCATTCATATGTTCCTAGCCAATGTAGTTGTGACCATTATTATTAAAATATCCTAGTGTTTTGTTGCTTCCAAAATTAGTTTTCCAAATTGCATTTAAGGTAACTTTTTTTCTTGAGCTATACTGATACATGTCTAAAAACACCAAAGTGGTTGAGTTTTGAAGGGAAAGCGTCCAGTCCTGCCTCACAATTTTAATCTAATACCAATCATGTTTTGCTTGTACCATTGCTGTGCCTTTGAGTAATTTACTTGCAAAATAATAAAGGAGATAAGATTGTATAAAAACATGAAAATATCTAAAAATTGTAGCAATGTACAAATAAGTTCCTATAATAAGTTGAGCAATTACGTCTTTATAAATGGACGATCTGGTAATGTTAGCTGGACTTCATGGAAGCTTAGCCCCACAGACGTTCATAGGGGTCAGGTTTGGGAAGAATCCTGTAAGCAATAGAAGAAAGCCATCTTTCAAAGAATCTTTTGTCATATATGAATAAATATGAGATATATTAATATATGTGATATATTAATACTTTAGAGAAAGAATAAAGGAACCTATGATTCTCTGGGTGTTCAGCTATAAATCCCAGAATTCATGGCAATTAATCAGGCTGGCTAGAACTGGGGAAAATTCAGAGACCCAACAATTGTGATCCAAGTCAACATACTTTACAAACAATTTAAGATTGAATACTCTGAGAAGCTATTCCAATGTCTAAGGAAGCACAGATAATTATTCCTGGCAGAGAAAGTTCTTTGTAAATGGAAAGAAGAGCTCACTTTAGGTTAGATAATCTAATAGAGTATACAGTTTAAGGAGGTTTTTGGCCAAATCTACCACTGGAAAGTTTCAACTTCCTTTTTAACTCTACCAAAGAAAATTGTGCAAAAGGTGATCTTAAGTGGCTCCATAGGAATGGCTAGTGTGGTTCTAACCTCACAAGCCAGTAATCAAGTACCCTTTGACACAACTAAGCCTGGGATAATACCTAATTTCACAATTAACTCCCAAACCAAATTAACCATTTGAGAGATGGGAGTAGAGTTTCACTTTTTATATTAGCTGCACCACTCTGTCATATATTATCGGTCAAATAAATAGAAGTGCATGTTCATAAGGGCATGCAACAAATGATGTTCTACACAAAGTAAAAGTTTGTGTGTGTGTGTGTGTGTATACACATATACACACACATATATACATACATATATGTGTGTGTGTGTGTGTGTGTGTGTGGTCAGCTTTGTTCGGTTATTTTCCCACGTCATTATAGTTGTGCTTTTAAAGTTGTAGCAATGTTTCGGCAGAATCTCATCTGCCATCATCAGGCTTCTGTATAGTGTTCGTCTGTGAGTCAGACTTTCACAGCCGTTTCTGTTTTAAATTTGGTGCTAGCCTACTGCTGTGCCAGAATGTTTTTTTCTTCATCTTGATTGGTTGGGAGTCTTGGTCTGCATTTATTGGTCTTGGAGTTTGCTGTGTTCTGCTTGATTGGTGTTTCTAATATCTGTCTGTTTTGTAGCTTTTTTTGTCTTGATTGGCTGGCAACATTGTGTTTCCTGTACCTTTTAGTGTGGCTTGGCTTTAGAGATTGAAAAAAGACCTAAAAGCATGAATAGAAGAGATAACTCCACCAGACTGTCAATTATCTGGAAGCCTGCACTCTCAAACAAAAAAATCTCCACACCACAAGCCAGGCAAACACCTGGGCACAAACAGACTTCCCCTGATACCTCCAGCTCAAACAACCTCAACCAGGCACCCACATGAAACCTAGCTTCCTAATAAATGATAGCCGTCCGTTTACTCAGAGCCAAGCCGCACTAAAAGCCTCCAATACAGGAAACATAATGTTGCCAGCCAGTCAAGACAAAAAAAGATACAAAATAGACAGAAGATATTAGAAACACCAATCAAGCAGAACACAGCAAACTTCAAGACCAATAAACACAGACCAAGACACTCAACCAATCAGGATGGAGAAAAAACCATTCTGGCACAGCAGTAGGCTAGCATCAAATTTAAAACAGAAACGGCTGTGAAAGTCTGACTCACAGACGAACATTATACAGAAGCCTGATGATGGCAGATGAGATTCTGCCAAAACGTTGCTACAACTTTAAAAGCAGAACTATAATGTGGGGAAAATACCCGAAAAAAGTTGAATACCATACATGTAAGTACCTGCGAAAACTTAAGAAAACACACACATACACACATATATGGATCTTTGGTTATTCGGGTTTTCTCCCGCGTAAAATTGGAAGTATCTTGGCAACATTTTGATGAAATCTCAGTCATCATCTTCAGGTTTCTGTCTTCGGCCTTGTGCTTCTCGGAGTAAAAGTGCTTCTTACTCCGAGAAGCACAAAGCCGAAGACACAAGCCTGAAGATGACGAATGAAATTTCGTCGAAACGTTGCCAAGATACTTCCAATTTTACGCGGGAGAAAACCCGAATAACCAAAGATCCACATACAAATACCCACGAAAACCTCAGAAAACACACACACACACACACACACACATATTAACCTTTGTGTTCCTCACCTTCCCCCCAAAATTATATCCAATGTTAAGAAAACGTAACTTGTCTGCTTTAAAAGAAACTCAGGGCAAACATCGTATTTAGGGGGAAAAGGCTTGTTTAATTATAACAGAATATAAAATCAGGCCATCTGAAAATAAATACAGAACAGCTTGTTCTTACTCCCTAGCACTAGTATTTCAGGAATCAAAAGCTAAGCTGCTGGTTATAATTTTACTTTTGCTTTCGCAATCAAGCCTTCACAGTCATTTTTAATATGTGCCTTTAAGTGCATGCATGAACGTAGTGTGGCCTTTCAGTAATGTATGGGCTTCATATTTGGTGGTGCAAGCGTTGTCTTGTCAGGAACTTGATGCTTGTAGCAGCTTCTCGGTCAGCCTAGATGTACTTCCCACCCAACATCCAACTGCAATTATTAGACATTTTAGGAATTTTCAAGGTCTTTTGTATGAAAGGAAAAGCATCATGGCCGTGGTGCAAGGTGGCTTGAGGACAGGTTGGCCTCTGAAATGCAGGTGTACCTTTGTTCTTCCTATTCTCTCCCAAAACATGCAAGCATGGAGGAAAGAGGAAGGTTCAACAAGAGTATACTTGGGGAGGAAAGCACTTTTTATTAATTTTAGGAAGAAGAACATTTTCGTAGAGTTATAACAATCAAGGCCACAATCACAGACGTTCCCAGCAGAGCAGCAATCACTATGGCACCGATAGCCCCAGGACCCAGAGACTCTGCAGATGAGATGAAAGAAAGAAGAGCACTTGGATTGGCATATTCAGCAAACAATGCAATAATAAATTAGTTAAAAATGAGATACACTCAAAGGCCAATATAATTATTTTGGTAGATTATGCCTAAAACCACAGCTGCAGGAAGAGAATAAAAGCTCCAGGCTAGTATGTTACATTCCCAGTCCTGGGTCACCACCAGGTGATCCTTGTTAGAGCTAAAAAGCTAAGCAACTGCTGTCCTGGATAGGGAATCATTGCTCCCTCTGTAAAGGATGCCCATGATACATATTAAAGAGTGTGATCATATGGTTATGCCCTTTTGATCCCCTCTGCAGACAACCCTGATCAACATGGGAAGGCCAATACTTTAAAAATGATCAGGACTTCTGGTTTGAAGGGCTTCGGCGACAGACAGGAATCCGCGATTGTGCGCGGTTTCTGCCTGGGCTCGCCGGCCGGTTTCTGGGCTAAGCCCCCCTGTAGAGGTGGTGAAGAGTGGGGAGACCACCAGCAGGGTCGAGGAGAGCTGCATCTCTCCTCCTCAGCTGGCCATTACTCCCTTTCCCGAAGGCAGTAGGAGCGGTGGTCAGAAATGGCCACCTCAAAGAAGAACTCAACCGGAAAAGAACGTGCAGGGGGAAGATAAGAAGTGAAAGTTTTGGCTGACCAGGCTAAGTTGAAAAAGCAACAACTAAGGTACCCTGGAATTTAAATTTTACAAGAAATAACATCGCTCCCAAAGAAGAGTTGGAAGCAGCGAAAGGGAAAAGGGAAAGGTTTGGGTTTTTTTTCTTCTTCTCTCTCCTTCCTTATATTGACAACTAAGAGACCTAAATAAGAAATTGGAAAAATCCACTTTGGCATCAATAGGCAATTAAGCTGAAAATATAACTAAATGCCAAAGGGACAATAAAGGTTTCTGGACATTAAAAACGTTCTTCTATAAGCAGGAAGGGAGAGAAAAAGAATAAGGGCAGGATCTGGAAGAGGGAGGAGACTGCCTGGACTTTAAAAGGATCTAAAGTAAAATTTCAGTAAAGACTTCTAAAAGATACATTTTAACTAAAACTTTGCAACTAAATAGTAACCCCAGGAAGAGAAAGCGGGGAAAAAAAAGAAAGAGCAAAAAGAAACAGCTTGCGTGTATTTGAATTACCTGGTGACTTTTGAATTTTTGGTTATTATATTTGAATGATTAAAATCAATCGGGTGGTTATTTAAAAATTTCTAGAATGGCATCACTTTTGGATGAATTGAAAATGGAACTTAAAAAGTACAAAGAAGATGCACAAGAAGGGAAGGGTTCTTTTGGCTTCTTTTTCAATTCCTAGAAATGGAGATCTGGAACTATGAGAAACAACAAGAAAAGACTGCAAAACAAAAAGACTGGGACAGAGAAGAAGCCATCTTTAATGAACAAGTAATTCTATGTGGGGAAGAAAAAGGAAAGGGGAATTTAAGACTTAAAAAAACAACCAAAGAAAAGAAAAATAATTTAAAAAATAAGTATAATACTGGAAAGCAACAGAAAAGGAGAATACAGAAGAGAGAAACAGAGGTAGAGAGACAAGGGGGTAAAAAGGGGAGAGAGAAGAAGAGAGGGAAGAAGGAAAGGAAAAGAAATTACAAAGGACCGGAACAAGATATAGAGAAACAGGACCTATTTAGAGATAATGGGTGAAAATTTAACTGAAAAGGGGATTCTGTAAAGTTACATAAGATTGTATTGTTATATTTGTAATAGAAATAACTTTAGAAAATCGTAAACAACATATGATTAGGATGAGGGATAAAACAGTGTAATTTAGTGAAATGTTTGTGAATAAAGTAAATGAAATAAAATAAATGAGAAAATTGAATTAGGAAGGAACGGGAACAATGTTTTATATAAGTGAAGGGGGGGAAATTAACTATGGAAAGTTTATAATTGTTCCCATAGAAGTATGATATTTAATTGAAAAGTAACGTGAAAAATGTTAAGACCTTAATGAATATCAATATTAATGATAGAATTGAATTGGAATGGAATGTTGTTTTAATTATATACATTTATAATTTTTTCTTTTTCTTTTTAAGAATACTGTGTGTAGTTTAAGAATGTACCAAGCAGAATCCGAATGGAAGTTATGTATTATATTGAGTGTTATAACTTTAGGGGAAAGATATAAAGGCGTCATACACCAATCAGTAACTACAGGAGAAATTTTGTTTAATGAGAAAAGATAATAGACAATTGAAACAGGACAGACAAAAAATATAAATATAATGATTTGAATTGAGATGAAATAAATATAATAAAATTGAGGAAATTAAAAGAGGGGAGAAGCCATGTAGAAAATGTAAAATTGTAATAAGATATGGAATAGAATATAAAAATGGGCATGAACCTGAATTTGCGTCTGTACGAAGAAATGTAACCCGGGATTATGCTGCTTTCAAAAAAGATGTTTTATTTGTATTTCTTTTCTTTTTGTGAAAACTCAAATAAAATTTACAAAAAAAAAAAAAAAAGAATGATTGATCAGTAGGAAAATGGAGTGGGGAATTTTCCTGCAGATTTTTGGGGGAATTTGCCCAAGGTCTTTGGTCTGCGGAATTTAGAATTATGAGTTTGGTGGTCCCTGGGGTCCAAAAAGTTGGCTACCCCTGTTCTAAGATATCAGGTGCACATTTGCCATAAGCAGTACTCCTTGCTGATGGGAAGGAAACACAACCAATCAGTTTGGGTACCCCCTGACCAGACTTCCACTAGCACAACTGAAGTCCAGCTTTACCTCAGGTTGGGTCCCATTGTTCTTTGCAAGCCAGGATATCTCAAGACTGGTTGCAAATGAACCTATTGCTTCCTGCATCCCATCAATTAAAAGTTACGTGCAATTTGCTTCTAGTACAGAAATGCCTGGAAACAGTTTTCTCCCTTTAACTCACTCCCTTAAACCAGGGGTCCCCAACCTCCAGCCTTGGACTGGCACTGGTCTGCAGCATGCCAGAAACTGGGCCGTGCAAACAAGTGAAGCCACATCCATGGGATGACCATGCCCCCCTCTGCTCTGCAGAAAAACCTCTCTCCATGGAGCCGATCCCTGATACCCAAAAGGTTGGGGGCCACTGCCTTAAACTATTGTAAACTTAATTGTAATAGAGGAACAAAAATGATCCTAAAAAATCCCATTGGATTGATATAGCCAGCCAGGCCTCTTTATGTATAGTAGCCAACCAGTGGAAAAGAAAAGTGCTATATTATATTCAGGACCCACTCAAAAATAACACATGGTTTCATTCTTTCCTTGATGGGCACGTAGCCTGAGGGGGGGGGGGTGTCTGTAAGTTCTGCCACCCTTCATTAGAAGGCCTGACAAGATGTCACTAGGACCCTCCCAATAATCAGCCTCACTGCCAAGGACAGATACCATTGTCATTCTCCAGCTGGTGGAAATGGGTTGTGTCCTCCAGTTCATAATCAGATGTGTATGATGGGAATCCTGTAGAATCTGAGAAGCGGGCAGGAGGGGTGGTTTCTGAAGCTCCCCCGCCTGATGGAAGCTCTGGTGGATCATTCCACAATGTTGGGATAGGTCCTTGTGAATATTCTGCTGGGGAAAACAAAACAAACAAACAAACCGTTTAATCTTTTGGCTAAAAGCTGTGCTAAAAAGTGCCAGTACAGCTGAGCATTAATAAGCAGACAAACTAAGAAGTTTTTCTGAATTTCTCCAAGAGAATAAGGTCTTCTCTAAAAGAATACTTTCGTAAGGTAAAATGTCTCCTTTAGCAGCCCTAGTAGCACAGCTACAGAAAAAGGACCATGGGAGGACTCTGCTCAGGAGGCTTTCACTGGATTAAAACAAACAAACAACAACAACAAAAAAAAGCCAGAAAATTTGCTCTGCCAGTCAGTCTTAAGCCACAATCAGTAGTGCTGTACCTCAAAAACATCTTCCAACACCAACTGCTGCAAAAAATAGAGAGCACTGCCCTCTGCTGGTTAGAAGTAACTCAGCAGCTGGTGTGCAAATGTTTTTTTTTTTTTCATAGGCAAGAAGGCTAGAAATAGAAGAGAGATTTGAAGTGGAAAACATGGCTGGTGCTCAAGTCTGCTTGAAATGGATTTTTGAACAATCCAATTATATTTTCTAGAATTTGTATTTCCTTTAAATTTCCATATCTTTTGGTTTTAAATCTTAATTTTTTAGCACATGTGGACTATTTCAGGAGATTAGAATTAGCAAACAAAGAGATTTGTTTTTAACAATTAAACAGTAATCTATGTAATAAATAATACCTTGCAACTTTATAAAATAAATATTTGTTAACTGGAAAGCAATAATAAAAAAATCTTCTTTAAAATGGGAAGGATGAATTTCTTAACCTTTTCAGGGATCAGCGGAATGAGACCAAATTCCAGGTTTTCCTCTTTGGTTCATCTTAGTATCTTGGTTTGCCCAAGCAGAGGAGGAGTGAATTCTGGTCATTATTCTGTTTTGCCTGCACAAGCCCCCACCCCCACCCCCCATCCGGTCCCCCCGCCCCCCAATGTAGACTTTCTCAACTTTGCTTGTCAGCCTCAGAAGGCATGAAACCAGAGTGGTTTTTAAAATCCACAGCTACATTTAGTTAAAATTTTAGATAGCATGTGGAAGACAACTAAGGATATATAAACTGGAAACTATCAAATGTATATGTGAGATTAGATTGAGGCATCTGATTCAAACAATTTTGAAAATATCTTCCCCATCCGAACAAAGGCCAATAAAAATAGGCATCATATTAAAGAAATACTTTTCATTTTTTTTGTGAGCACATGCTGCAATTAATAGCAAATTTGAAAATAATTCTTATAATGGAATAATTAAGAACACCTAAACAGGGGCCTGTAAACTGAAATGTTAAAACAAATACGTACAAAAACTAAAAAATATTGTGGCTCTGGGTATGTATCATTTGTTGCCAGAGTTTGTCATCTTTTCAGACAGTTTGCTACCGGTAGATACTTTACTGACTATCCTCCCGAGGAGGCTTATCTGAGTTTCTAAGAAAACACATTAAATAGCCACATAAGGCTTCATTATATGTGTTAACTGATTACACGACATACACATGGTAGGAAAAATGCATATTTCTACTTACAAATGATATGGACATATATGCTGGAAAAAGGTATTTTAAGTAACAATTGCACTGGAAAAACAGGGAAATAGAGCTCTGTGGAGAGGCAGAATAAATGGGCAAAATGCCATTTGCAGCATTGAACACTTCTGGGAATAATATATTATAGTGACTTTCAACTGGTCCTCATGCTAATGAGCATTGCAGCATCCCTGTGATCATGTGATCAAAATTCAGATGGTTAGCAACTGGAATGTGGTCATTAGCTGGGGACTACTTTTATTTTGAGGCTAAAAACATAGTTTTTATTATATTTTGCACCAAAAAGACAAAAGGCAATGCTTGTATTAGCCCTTCCTGCTGGGAACTGAAATCAAACATTTTGGAAGGTATCAGGCTGGGCACAGTTGGCAACATTTTCAGGAATGGCCATTGTAGATAACAACTTCAATCTCAGTTCAGGCATCTGCAGCGGGAATCAATTTTCACTGCAGGATTTCTGAACACAAACCCTTAATGGCCTATAGTGTTTCTTTATTGGCTGTGCTAATCCTGTCTGGTCTATGCCATCTTGGAGAACTCAAATGAAACCAAAGAGAGTGTGACACAAATTTCTAATAACATGTCCAGTTCTTGTTCAATGCTGCTTCAATTCTCCAAAGAACTTAAGAAATCTGATGTATCTCCATGCAAAAGGTCATGGAGCTTTGTCCCCATAGCTTTTGATTTGCTATATTAGATATATTTCATTTGATTTGATTTGCCCTCTGAAAGCCTCTGTTTGCTGATAATGTACAGTTTGAAAAAGCTCATTAGAAAAAAAAATGCAAAGGAAAACCAGCTGGCCCATAGAGATGGCAAGCACCGAGTACAGTGGTGCGCTTAATGAAACATCTACCCTTACATTCTCTCCCCCTCCTTGCAATGGAAGCTTGCCTTTGATACAGCAGTTCGACTGCCAATCAAGGCAGGTGACAAACTGCTGGACTAAGGAAGACTGGGGGCAGAGTCTCCTCCCCCTTTGCAATTATGAGGTGAGGTTCTAAGAAAATTACATTTTCTTTGATGCTGCAATTCATGTCCATTCCCCCTCTAAGCTTCCCTGGAGAAAGTGAAAAGCCATTTGTGTTTATATATGGGTAGACCCAGAAGGCAGGAATCAAAGCTCGTTTTGTTAGACAGCTTGAAACAGAGGCCCTAGCAAGAACTGGAGACATTCTACAGGGCCCTGTTGAAGCAGTGGAAATATCACACCCAGCTGTAAACTGGAACCACCCCTCAGTTTATCATACAACAAAACCTATGTAAAAAAAGGCCTGGACCAAAGGACTGCAGGAGTAGCCAAGGAACATCAACAAAGCAGGAACACAGCCTCGATTTGTGGTGGTGGTGGTGGTGGGTGCATATTTTTATAGATAAACCAATCCTTCCATAGGGTTACATTAGTCGATCAATAGAATTGCACCAAACAAGAGGGAGGGAGGGAGGGAGGGAGGGAGGAAGGAAGGAAGGAAGGAAGGAAGGAAGGACCAAATCATTGTCCTATTTTTTTAGGACTTGCTTAACATGATACTAAAACACAATCCACTTTCAGTTGTTATGATATAAAAGTTCTCTAGCAAAAAGTCTACTTTGATAGTACAAATAATTGTTGGGAAAGAAGATTTCCTTTCTGAAAGCCACCATGGCTATACTTCAATCTATCCTAGCAAGATGGCCGATATGCAGGACTTTGCTCTGGCCAGCCTGAATTTACATAGATATATGGACATGCCAAAAAGATCTCTTCAAAATTATGCAGCCCTTCTAGTTACCTAGTCACTGGAGTAGGTATGATGGTCAAGAAGGACTTGTTTCTCTATGTCACTACCAATGAATGGCCACTTGGAGGTGGTGTGAAGGAATTGTGGCCTTGTGTTTTGAAAGAACCTATTTTCTGCAGTGTATCAAGCTTCATTGTTGATGTATTTTAGAAATATTTTTAAAAAGCTACCTTATGTTGGTCTTCCCATGCCTCAGTCGATAACTCCACCAGCAATTCTATTCTAATGAACGTTTTTCATTTCATTTTGTTTCGCTTTGCAATTTTTATATCTTATACATTGCTTAGGGCTTTTCTCTTATGTTTAAGGGCAAATCCAGTCATGTAATTGTAAAAATGATAAAATTGTTATAATCTCCAGCCCTCAGCTCCCCACTCCCCCCAATATTTTAGGGCAGGCAATTCCTTTTGCATCAGCACCTCATAAGTGTATTTGCTTAAATAATGAAGAGCAGTCCAGAACAACTTCATAGGTGAAAAGGCCTAACTATGCTGATGCATGCAACATGAAGCACAAATTATAACTATGTTTTTCCAGATGGCAGTTTGTTTCTATATTGTGCGCCAATGATCGTAATTGGAGAGAGAGAGAGAAGTGAGGAAATTCTTCCTCTGCTGCTTAATAAAGATGCATTTTATTGCTTTCTTACTTAGGAATAAGCTTAATGGAATTCACACTGAAATTCACACAGAAGATTGCATTAGGTGAATAATTTAGCTAAACATTTCATACAAAAGCTTGCTCTCGAGAATGGTTTTACTGAGTAGGGGCAATGGGGGTGGAGGGTGGGGGGTGTTTGTGGTTGGAAGGTCAGCCCATTGAGTAATATGTTTCTTACTAAATTTAGAGTTACTGTATATATACACTGGCCTAGGAATATATCCCAGTCCATCTAGTAAGACTCATAAGTAATGTGCTGACAGTTTTTTTTCCCAACTGTTCTTGCGAACTTCTAAGCAAACAAACAAGGGTGAATTGGACAACTTTCCTTATTATCTGCTCCACCCACTGCTCCACTCCATCCTGCTCCACTTAATCAAAATTGATATATGGTCCTTGAAATATTTGTAGAATTGGATGATAAAAGCTACACTTCAAAGGGCAAACTTTAAAGAAATGTAAGAAACCATCATTTGGATGCCTTGTTTGATTAAACCAGTTTGGTGTACTGATTAAAGCAGCTGGATTAGAAACTGGAAGGCTAATGAGTTCTTCTCCTGATTCAGGCACAACTGGGTGACCTTGTGATATTTTTTCCCCTCAGTCCGCAGGAGGAGGAAGGGGCAAAAGTGTTTTTGAAAATTTTGCCAAGAACAATGGCATGGATTCGTCCAGGCAGTTACCAAGAGTCAATAATGACTGGAAGGCAGACAAAAAACATGAAACAAACCCCAGCCCTAATAGATCATCTTATTAGAACCTGAGGGAGACAATCCTGCCCTGGAAGAAAAGACGGGAGCAAAACAATTTTGTTGGGCTATGCAGAGCACCTGGAAACCATCAGGTCCCTTCAGAGGTTGAAATATTGGCAGCTATAAAATTTACGATATGGAATTGGTCATCTCCATCCCACTAAAATTTCTGATATAGGATTGTCTCCTTATTTGAATGTTAGGCAGGAATTCGAAATAACCAAAATAGCAATACTGTTTTAATGCAGTGTGTTTTGAATTATTTTTAGCTTTCTTCAGCTTTACTGATATAGGAAAAAAGTGGCTATGGTAGTTAGGAAAAAGGATCTATTGGTTTTGAAAAAAATAGGTCTGCTGAATTTAAATATACAATATATACAAATATACAAAAAGTGAACTTTTGCTCAGAAGGTCACAATGGGAATTGGGATTGTGTCTTCTCGGAATCAAGAACAGAACTCTCTGCACACATTAAGCTCACTTATTTTCAAGCAGCACTAAGCCTGTTTACTTCAAGCTAGCCTTTATTAGCCGAAAGAAAATGGATAATACAACTATTATTTTATTATTTGCTTTCTCTTTATAAACTTGTGATCGAGCGAGGAAAAAACCGCACAGACCCTTGACTCAACTGCTTCCATGTTTCCTTTGGGGCTAACAGGAATATCTTCTTGCTCAGCTTGGATGACTCTGCTTTTGAAAGCTGAGCAATCGACAGAGAAAATCAGGGACCAAAATGCTCTTGGAAACTAACAGTGGGTTGTCTGGATCCTGGTAGCCATCATGGGCATGTGGCCAGTGTGTGGATGAATGAAACCCTTCTTCAGAGGCACAAGGGAAGACTGTGGTGCAGTTCTGAGTCCTGGGTCAGCAGAGCTGAACGTTAAACAAAACTTGTTTACAAGAAGCCTGTCTATAATGACCATCTAGGCATACCACCATGCTGGCCCTACCCTTTTCATCATTCTGTTTGAGCTCGGCAGCATTCCCCCTTGCCGCCCCACACAACCAAGCTGGAAAAGTTCATTTGAAAAAACAAACAAGCATCAAAACACAATGGGCAAAAAGTCATCTCCATAATGCATACTATACAGGTAGTCCTCAACTTACAACCACATTTGAACCCAAAAGTTATGTTGCTGAGAAATTTGTTGAGTTTTGCTCAGTTTTACAACTTTTCTTGCCAGATTTGTTAAGTGAATCACTGCAGTTCTTAAATTAGTAACATAGTTAAGTGAATCTGGTTTCCTGTTTGACTTTGCTTGTCAGAAGGTTACCAAAGTCTGGGACACTGCAACCATATAAATGTGAGTCAGTTGTCAAGCATCTGAATTTAAATCACGTGACCATGAGTGTGAAAATGGTAATAAGTCACTTTTTTCAGGGCCATTGTAACTTTAAACGGTCACTAAATGAACTGTTGTAAGTAAAGGACTATCTGTATAACCTAATCAAACTGATCATTGCTACTGATCATTGTTCAGAACTCCCTGCAGATGTGCACTAGGTTGTAAGCTTCAGTTACAAGTGCACATGAATTGAAATTAGTTAAAAACAAGCCAGTTGGTAAATGCATGCTAATTATATTACTATATTCAAATGCTGCATGACCAAAATAAAACAGAAAAACTAGACACGTTAATTTATCCCCCTACAAATATTTTCCATTTGGCTTTGGAATTTTGTATGCAGTATTAAAACCAACAGCATGCAGGAAAAATTGTAGAGCAGATCATAAAGCGATCAGCGTAAGTATCTTGAAAACAATGCAGTTGCTTGCCAGAAGTTAACCCAGATTTATAAAAAGCAACACTTGCCAGATTAGCTTGATCTGTTTTTTCTTAGATAATTTTAAGATCCATTACGCATATTTCAGCCTACAATTTCACAAAAAATACCTTTGATTACTAATTTCCAACTCCTGGTTTATCTTGATTGGGTTTAGAAGCTAAGAAAGGACTTATACTTGGTCAAAAGACCACCGGTAAATATAAAGGCTGTCAGCTAGTTAAAAAGCATCCTGAATGAAGGCAATGACAAGTGATGCCCATATTGTTGCAAAGAAAATTCATGATTATTTTCCTCTGGCGGGAGTTGAGAGTGAATCAGCGTGACTTTTCTTTTAACAGTAACGAATTTTCTTCTTGAGTGTCTTTTAAATTTTATTACATCAAAAGTAAATCATCCTCATTCATTTTTTTTTCTTCTGCTAGTGTCCAATTCTCAGAGACTGCCTGGGCAAGTCCCTGCAGTTTTCTTGGCAAGGTTTTTCAGACGTGATTAACCATTGCCTCCTTCCAAAGGCTGAGAAAAAATGACTGAAAAAATTATGCAACGTTTATGTCTAAAATAGTTTATGTCTAAAATGGGACTAAATTCAGTCTCATGGTTTCTAGTTCAATGCCTTAACTACTACTGGCACGCATTTATTATCATATCATTATCAAATATTTAAGAAACAGTTTGCAAACAACTTTGTTCTGTTTTGAATAATGTCATAATTTTACAGAAATGAGTTTTTTGTGTAATTTCTTATGTGAAAAGCAGAGATTCATCTTCTCTGATGTTTAATAGGAAACTATCCAACTTTTAAGAGTTCTAAAAATAGCAAGACAAATGTACAATGCTGAATAAAAAACTGAAAAGCTTAACATTTGCCAAGTTTTGAATCCAAATGATAGAAAAAAAGATACATCACTTAATATATATTTATTATGATATTCTGAAACCTCTTCCACATTCTTCTCCCACTTGTACTTGTAATCAAAATAACATTTATTTTCCGAAATATCTGCACAGCGTAAATTTTTTGCACTGGACGGAGAACCTTGAAATCAAAGTCTGCATCAAAATTCTTCTCTAGTACACAAGAAGGGGCAAGTGACTATGGGTCAGTGGTACAATGCATATTCTTTTATTTGAAGATTCCAGGTGTGATTCCCACCAAATAATCCAAGTAATCTCAAACATTAGTGCAAGAATGTATTTTTTTGTCTGAAATCTCTGAGAACTACGTACTTCAAATGGGAGAGAAACAAGGGACAGAGAGAGTACTAAAAGAAAGCCCATTATGTCTCTGAACATGAGTATTCATTTTGCTTGGAGGAATATTTTATGTATCCTCAATGCTTTCAGCAGTTGTATCGGTTCATGGTTAAGATCTGAATGTAGATTCTATTCTGCATTTATTTTCCAGGACGGGGACATGCACATACTGCCATACTAACACTTTTTATAGTAATATCTGTTCCTATAAAATTTTATAATACTGAATCTCACTGATATTTGAATAATTTCATAATACTGCGCAAATTGGAGAAATTAACCCATCCACAAATCAGTTCTGCAATCTATTATTCAAACTAAACATCCTGTAATATATCTGCTATCATAAATTCATAATTCTTTCTGCTAACCAGGTGGAGATAAAACTTCGCAGAATGTCACAGAAACTAACATGTGGCTCATACAATTTTTTTACGTTTCAGCAAACGCTTTTTTACGTTTCAGCAAACTCATCTTCACACATACAGAATTAAAAACTTCCATTAAAATGGAATGATAATTCCCAGTTTAAAATTAAACCATGTCCCGTGTTTATGACTTTTTCTGAACACACTCAAGTTAACTGTATCAATAAAGATTTAAGTTCCACCCTCATTTAAGAATTATGTTCCAGATGACCAAACTGAAACTAATTACAACCTTACTGTCATAAACATGTAAATTTTAATCTCATCCAAGTTTTTATAATTATAACATGTTAATTATCCATATATTGCCTATATAGAAAAGAAATTCAGAATTCTAAGAATGCTCAGGGAAAGGGAAAGATGCTATTTGAATTATAATGTTGGCCACAAAGAAATTCAACTTACCAGTTTTTACAAGAGAGATCAGGACTCCAGACAGTGTCAGTAGGATGAAGTGAAATGTCTTGGTATGGGGCATTGCCTCTCCAAAAAGTGAGATGCTTCTGGGAATGCTCAAACTCTCTAAATTCTTAATTAGGAATCAATTTTCTGAAGCTAAATCAAAACCTTGTCCAGTCAGTTCTCAAATCTCTACATATGTAGAAATAGACATAAGCAGAATGGCAAATACTCTACAGCCTCATTTATGTATGCAGTCTGGCTGATTAACTGATTTAAGCCAGAAGGCAGGTCCACCTTCTAACAATTTTGTCTTATTTCTCCACCCCCAAGTTCTACAGTTGGCCCTTGGAAACTCAATCCTCCCCCAACAGAGCAAGGCATACATTAATTGGCAGTTAACTGCAAAACCCCAAAGGCTGCACTAAGCTTCCAATAACTGGACTACATATTTTAAGTTTAGGATAGCAGTGAATAACCCTATTCATTAGACAGTTCTATACTTAAAATAGGCATGTGTTTGCATAGGGTGTGAGAGTGCAAAACAGAAGGATGCCAATCACATAATGTTTAAAGTAACAGATGTTAGAAGTTTCTGAATTCAACGTTATCTAACAATTCTTGATTGAGTTTAAAATATATCCCAGGTATCAGATCCATGTTTATTAACCATTCTCTGATTTAAATTCTGGACCTTTTGCGATTCCTGTTTGCTAAGGGATGACCGAATTTCTTTAACCTGAAAGAATCATATACATGATGAGGGATAGTTGAATTTTCCAGAAATGTTCAATGCCTTGAAAAGCCTGAATCCTTACATTCAAATATATATCAGAAAGTATTTTTAAATAAATTAGAGGTAGAAGTCAAATTTTCATTAGGAAGAAAATCGCTCTAGCATACTTATTTACATGAGCACTTAGAAAATCGGCTAAAATCAGTTAGGCACTTGAAATTATTTGCAGCAATTTTACATTCAAACTGCAATGAATGACTTTTGTTTAGGTCAATTTACTGGGAAAAGTATGCATTGTGTTCAAATAACTTAGTTTCATCATGGTGAGCTTTTATTTTTGATAGAAGTGTGAAAAAATATTTTAAGGACCAATACCCATCCTTGATCTAACTTCAGTTTATAGGATTCAGTTTTGAAAAGTGGATTGTTGTAAATTGCTATACAGAGGCACAATGGCAATTTTTAAATAAGTGTTTCGTTTTCTATTTATTCCTATTAAAGACCAATGATTTTGATTTATAAGAGTTCCATTTGAGTTTTTCTAGGCATTTTACTTATATTATTAAATATATTACAATTAAATTTCTTTCCCTTGCAAATTGTGTATATCAGCCCCAGTTCAATAGCCAAAATACTATACTGAATTACCTTCAAATGAAGTTAAATTAGTTCTTGTTGAACCATAATTTATATCAGTATGCACATAAAAGCTTGGTAATTTTGCAAGGAAAAACTTAGCACTGTGTTCCTGTACTCAGTCTGAAATTCAAGGCTAAGATACTTTCTGCCACTCAGGTCACTCAAACTGTTTTGATTCAAATTATTTGCATGTGAAACTGCAACTTTTCCATTTCATATGTAAAACTACTGTTTCAAGCATTTTGGAAGTGCTTTGGATTTAAAACACTCCCAAAATCCTCAAAACAGTCTGTTTTGAACTCACAGAGTTTCAGTTAAAAATTTTCCACATCTCTAACTGCCATATTTGTTCCCCTGGCAAATACTCCCTTTTATTCACACCTGACTTTTGATAACTGGAAAAATGTGAAAAAATGTTTCTTATTACTTGGCACCACAGAGATAGACAACAGTTGGCCTAGCATAGGCTGCCACTACTATATGTTAGTTTGGTGAACTGATATTTTAAAAGGTAATATATAAACTCATTTGGTATATTGACACAAAGTGGCTTATAAAATAAAAAAATCTAAAGAAATAAACAGGAGCATCAAAAATCATAGCACATCCTACAATACCATCATCTAAACATCTATGATCTGGAGCATTATTCCTTTTTCCAGCAAGATAATACTTCTGAAATGAGTTGCATTAAAACTAGTTAAATGACCCAGCACCACTGAACATTGTAAATTGAAATACTACTTAACAATTGTATCATACTTCCCAGGATTATTATTCTAGAGGGTTTCAGTTCAAAACTCAGTTTGTACCTGTTAAGGGAAAAAGCCACCTGTGTTATGATCATTATGTTAAGATAATTAATTGGCATTTGGATAATTGTACCTATCAGTATTAATTCTGCAAAGAATTTACTTTAAACATTAACATCTGTCCAAACTAAAATTCGAAAAGCTTCTATCACAGTTTATGACAGTCTTAACCATTATAGAACAAAGTTCAAATTGCAAAAATCCATTTTTTAATCAGAATCTTGAGATCACCAACTGCAAATAAAAGAAAATAGATAATTATTAAATTATTAATATTGTTTAGTTCTAATCCTACTTATTTTACATCTTTTAAATGTGCTATATTTTTATGACCTACAGTATTTTATACCTACTTTACTTGCTCAGTGTTGAACGTCTATATCAGGGGTGTCAAACTCGCATTGTCATGACATTGTCACGTGACGTATCAGGACTTTTTCCCCCTTCGCTAAACCAGGCAGAGGCAGGGCCAGCACATGACACATCTGGCCTGTGGGCCATGAGTTTGACACCCCTGGTCTATATGTTTGTAGGTGCTTCTGACCTGAATAAAGAAAATTATTTACTGGATTCCATAGGTTCATATAGTGAAATGTTTTGCATAGATAAGTATCAGTCTATTCTGTCTAATTTAAGTCTGAGAACTTTGTCAATAGACTGCAAATCAGTCAGGTTCTATTTAGAGATCTTAATCTGTCATCCGTCTTTCAATAAATTACAAGATTATACAAAATAGAGGCTATTATTATTATTCGTATAGTAGTAGTAGTAGTAGTATTCAAATAAGGCAGTTGTTTCCTGAGCTTCAAATTTTACCCATGCCAATTTTTACTAAAATTAATTCAATTTAGAACTGGCTTCTTACATAGAATTGTTTGTATACACGTTCTTGGATGAGCAAACTGATCTAAGATAAGGACTGCATACCTATTTACATAATTTATTTACACCTCACTTTTAAAAATTTGAGAGTTACACGAAGACAGCAATTCAAAACACTTATTTGGAAGTAAGTCTAATAAAATTTAATAGGACTTACTTTTGAGACGGAGATGCACAGAACTGTCTTATAGGGCTCTATAAAAATATTCAGTTACAGTAATTTAGAGTCACATAAAATCACCTTTGTTCCCAAAAGACAGCATATTTTCCAAGTAGATAAAGAGAGCCATTTTTTATTTAAAAAACCCCACTGTTGATACAGTACTTGCTGTTTTGATTACACTGGGCTTATTAATGTCTCTATTCTAGATGTTTACAACTGTAAAAGGAACTGCACAGACTTCGTCTCTTGCATAAACAAAACAAGAGTGTGAATAAGTGAATGTCTTCAAATGGAAAAAAGTGAAGAGTGAATCTTTGTCAAACATTTGCAGCCTTGATGTTTATTTCCACCTCTAAAATTATCAAGTAGAAAAACCAGCCACATTCCTCTAGGATTACAAAATAAAGCAACTGCTGTCCCTCCAGCTCCTATGTACTTGCTTGTCAATTAAGCAAATGGGTATTTGTAGCACTTCAAGGCTGAGTTTAGCACCACAAAAGATTGCCAAAATTGGCTTTGACAAAAGCAAACAATATGTGCAATAATACAACCAGGTTTTATTTTTTTAAAACTTATTGTCCCCCCCCACCCCCTTACTATGTAGAGGGAATTTAAAGATCTGTTGTAAACATAACTACCTCCTCTTCCTGCTTCATAAGTGTACAAAGTAAAGGAGAGCAGGAGAGCAGATTTGTGACAGGTTTCTCTGTGCTAATAGATGCAAAACTATTTACAAGTCTAAAACCATCTCTATACAGTTATAGTACAAATTGGCATTTGAAAGGTGAGGAAGGGAGAGGAAAATCAATTGAAATAAAAATTAAAGTAACTTCAGTTGTTTTCTTCAGGTGATGTCAAAAAAAAAATCTTCACATAAGCAACTTCACTGCGCAAATGGGAGATTGGGGTGGGGGATAAGGGTGGAGGTATCTAAGTGCACTGAATTCTGGAATATAACTGAGAGAAGATGGATAGTATAAATATGGGAATCATGAAAGTAATGGCAGAGTGTACTATGTAACAAAAACCAGCACACTGCATTTTATTCATTTGATTTTTTTTTTTTACAAACTCAGACACTGCCAATGCTCAAATTCCTTGTGTCATTTATTTTTCTTTGAAGACGACATCTCCTGTTCCTTGGCATAATGCTGCTGCAGAACTTACAAAATCCTGAATCACCATCATATGTAACCAGATGAAAATCTGGCTACATTTCATGCTCCAAAGGTAGTGTCAAATCCTCACACAAAGCCAACTGATGAACATACATATGGTAAAGATCCTATGTGTCTCTGAAACGAGACAAATTCACAGCAGAAGGGTCCAAAATAACTGGCCCAATCACAATGGAGGAAAGAGAATTACAGGAGAAATTCAGCCTGAAGTGCCTCCTCCCACAACTTGAGTCCCAATTGTTCAAGAAGGCTGGATGCACCGAAGCCTGAACTCAAGTAGCGTTGACACCACAACTTAATGAAAACAGACTTGAGCTTCCCCAAATGCAATGTGCTGAAGATAGGCTGACAGGGATGTGCAATGCCAGACCAATCCAAGCTGAGTGCTGCCCACCACAAAAATTTTCTGCTGTTGGCAGTTTTACAGTTAATTTATGAATGCACCTCCTGAAATGGGAAGGCATGGAAGTCAGTATCTGCATGGCATTTTGGTTCTGAATGACATCTGTTAACCATGAGCTCTCCACCATGATTGCATGGGCTTATTGTGGTGAAAGTAATGACAGAAGGGAAGGAAGCTACCATATGTAGACCTCCAGATGGCTTTCCAAATAGCTTGGGAGAAAAAAAATCACTCACAGTGCTTTGAATTCAACCTCTTGAATAAATCTTCTTTTCTGTCTACCCAGTTCAAAAACCAAAGACCAAAATAAATGAAGGTGGCTGTGCAATCCTGGGCAGAAAGCATTTGTTGAAGCTAAAAACAGCAGCCTGAGATGATTGATTCTGTGATCCATTTGCAAGGCAAAAATGACAGCAGTGAAGAGAAAGGACTCTGTCCGGCAGTGGAGAATGCATGGTTAACAGACACTGGAAAAGCCAGGTGAGTGGTATTTACTCAGTAGTCATCCAAAGTCTCTATTTCTCCCATATTGAGCCGTTCTGATGAAGCATTGACTGAGAAACCTGAAAAAGACAGATCCAAGTTTATCAGTTCACAGATGAATTATATTTCATAGTTGCCAATTTACATGTAATTAGACAGCCATACAAAATTATAGATAATAGTCAAGGAAAAAAAATGTTCTAATATAACAGTTCAATACTTTTTAAAAATTGATTCATATAATAAAAGTATTATTGAAGAATTCTCTTGATAATCACATATTTTATTTAAAAAAAATGCATACTCACTATACATAAAAATACATAAATACTATCTACTGTTTCTTATGAATCTAACAAATCAACAGAATGGAGTATAGGAAGTTCAAATGCAGAGATATGTACATAAAACTTTAGCATCTATTTTCTTGCATACATCTGATTGCCGAAGTAGTAAAATAATTTGTGGAGCAAACTCTGGGGACTAAAAGGGTGTTGACTGATAAATAAAATTGCAATCCCAAGAGGAGAAAAATAGTTATTACTAACTCTTTTATCTTAGTTTTTATGTTCTCTGTGTTTTCTCCATTTATTTAACATATCATATTAAAATTCCTGATTTATTCAAGAAAAATGAGCAAGAGACAAATGATGTTACATTGCAAGAGCCAGTCTTATGTGATGAAGGCTTCAGGCTAGAAACTGAGAAATCATGGGTTCTGGTCCTGCCTTTGGCACAAGGACACCTGAATAATTTTAGGCCAGTTGTTCTCCCTCAGCTCTAGGAAGGAGGAAGCAGCAAACTACTTCCAAAAAGCTTTGCTAAGAAAACTGCAGGGATTAGTCTAGGCAGCTGTCAGAAGTTAAGGCTGACTTGAAGGCAAACAAATGTTACAAACTAATTCTAATTTGAAGGTTCTAAAACTCACCTAACAAGCTTGGATCTGCACGGACCATTTTTTGTTTCTTCTTCTTTTTGCCACTCTGCACTGCTTCAAAATTGGACTGCTGATTGTTGCTCTGATTAGTCTGAAAGACTGTATGCAAAGAACAATGGTTCATCCCCCATACAGAATCCTGGAAATAAAGGGCATATTTTAAGGTACAATTAAGTTTTGTGCACTTGCTTAAGAAGCATTCCCCCTATTGTGGGAATGTATCAGAAGATATATTCTTATACTGTTACCTGATATTTTCCATATGACCGTGGTTTATTCCATTTATTTTTTATCTACATACAGTTTTAAGAAAAGCTTCAAGATGAATAGTTTCTATATTAATACATCCATACTCAAGCATGCTCTCCATTTTAGGAACAATTCCACATCTATCTGATGCATTTTTCCTCTGCCCGAATAATATCTACTTCTGACTTGGAAATATTTCCCCAAAACAGAAATATGAACCTGCTGCTGCCGTTGTTGGTTGGCTTTTTGTTTGGCACGGCGCTCAAGAAACTGCTTGGCAAATTCCTTGGCTTCAGGGGTGTCCCCAAGATAAGCTCTGATGTAGTCGTGAACCTCATAAGGAGATTCCACTTCTTTCAGGAAAGAAACAAATGTGGGAACTAGAACAAGAAGAGAGATTCAATTGTGAGAACTCTGTAAAGAATGTTAAGTAATGCAATGGACAGGAGCTTTCCAGTATCAACTATTTGATAAATTTCTTTAAAAACTTTATGTAAAACAAAATTACTTCTGCTTGAAATAAAATTTAAAAACAAAAACAAAAGATGTTTCCTATCGTCACTGAATTACTTGCTAATGAAAACAAACAGGCTACTCCTACTTAGTTTAATTTTTCAGCAACACAGTAAGTCCCGATGCTAAGATCTACGATTCAAAAATATAAGTGATATCATGCAGCACAATTTATATACCCACTTCTCAAGAATACTGATCTTCTATAATTTTCTCATATTTATTTATATTACAAAACAGTATCATGGATTTAGAATGCAACTATGATACAATTTCTTGTAATATGTGATAGCATGCATGGTATATATTGTAAGATGCTTGTACCTTTTATTACTGCTTACCATCCAAGTTGTTAGCTGTGTTGAGTGCATGAAGCATTTGTTCACACCACTGAGTGAATCCATCCTGAGGTTTATTAACTCCCTGAAACAATTTCAATAACTTTTCTTCTTCTTCTACCTTCTTATTATGTCTGCTTGTAACACCTACAGATTTACTGGGACAAAGAAAAAAATGATCACTGCAGAGTATGAGGAAGAGATGTAGACTGCCAGGAACAGGAAGTATGGAAGTCTAGAAACCAGAAAACTCCAGCAATCTGTCAATTATATTAAAAATCATAGGGGTGTACAATGAAGTATAATCTTAATAGATGTAGCCAGCTGGACTCACTATCCATTTGCTCCTATTCATACTTACTAAGCTTCGTACTGGGCTGGACTATCCTTCCCCACCTGTTCACTGACTACCTTCCATCTTTCTATTCTGAAAAACATGTGTCACAGGGAGGTGGTCACGGCAGATGTCTTGACCTGTGGGCATTATTCTAATATTTCTGGACCTAACATATATGCTAGAGTAGGTTGTAAGCTGTCCAAAGTTCAGTATTAAGATGGATGGCTATACAATGTTGCAAGCAGGCAGGCAGGCAGGCAGGCAGCGCCATGTTAGAAACCAGGAAAATGTGAATTTTAGTCCCATCTTAGTCATGAAGGCCACGAGGAAGGCATTGGACCAGTACTCTCTCTTAGCCCAAATCATTTGACAGAGTTGGTTGTCGGGGGAAAATATGAGGATGGAGTATAAGGAATGTTTTCTGCCTTGGAGTTATTTATAAACATAATACAGGTAGAATAAATAAATCATTTTTTAAAGGCCAGGCTTGGCTTTTGGAAATGCATATATCACTCCAGTTCTTCTTAAGACAAAGCTGGATAGCCCACTGCATGTAATAGCTTTTTACCCTGCCTAATACTTTTACCAGTTACTTATACCAGCTAACCTAAAGTATGATGAAATAAGCAATCCTGGTTGTGCTGTGGTTTGATAGAAAACTTTCATCCACTGAGCCGTTTATAAGAAATGCACAGGCTTTGGCATTGTCTAATAGAAGAAAGAAAAATTCAACCATACACATTCTTACCTGATGCTAGCATTGTTCTTGTTTTTATTAGTTGCATTACGAGGGCCCACTTCTTTGATTGCATCATCCCAGAATCCCATGTTTGAATTTTTTGTATCAGCATTACTCCAAATACTACTGACAAGGTCTGATGCCCACTGGTTGCTAGGATTTGTGCTTAGAGAGCCCCATACTGAACTGCCAATGCTGGTATGCCGATTTGAATGTTGCTGGGAAACAAAAAGGATGAAGTATTTAAATCTACCTTGGCTTAAATGAGAAATTATAAACATAAAAATGTAGGAGCTACTCACTGTAGCACTGCGGGCTCTGCTCTGCTGCTGCTGTTGCTGCTGCTGCTGCTGCTGCTGCTGCTGTTGCTGCTGCTGCTGCTGCTGCTTCTGCATCTGCCTTGCCTCTTCCTGCTGTATCTCCAAGAGAGATTTTGTAGTGCCAGCAGACTTGGCAACATTCCCCCAACCAGACAGTTTCTGTTGCTGCTGCTGCTGCTGCTGCTGGAGAGCTTTCATTAGTTCACGCTGCTGACGTCTTTGCTAGAAAATAGTAAGTGCAAAACTTGATTGCAAAACATCACAGGGGTGCCCTCTAGTAG